ACACAGGTGACACACAGGTGACACACAGGTGACACAGGTGTTCCCGCTGACAGTTCCGCTCGCTGTCCATGGTGTCGGAGTGCCTGTTCTCGCTGGTCAATGGCGATGACACAGGTGTGACAGGTGACACAGGTGACACAGGTGACACAGGTGACACACAGGTGACACACAGGTGACACAGGTGTTCCCGCTGACAGTTCCGCTCGCTGTCCATGGTGTCGGAGTGCCTGTTCTCGCTGGTCAATGGCGATGACATGTTTGCCACCTTCGCGGCGCTGCGGCCCAGCGGGGCGCTGGTGTGGCTGTTCAGCCAGGTGTACCTGTACTCCTTCAGCGCGCTCTTCATCTACATGGTGCTCAGCCTCTTCATCGCCCTCATCACCGGCTCCTACGACACCATCAAGGTGAGCGGCGCACCTGGGGCCTCACCTGGGCGTGACGTCACCTGGGCGTGACATCATCTGGGCGTGACGTCATATGGGTGTGAGGTCACTGGGGTGTGACATCACCTGGGTGTGACATCACCGGGGTGTGACATCACCCGGGACCTCACCTGGGCGTGACGTCACCTGGGTGTGACGTCATCTGGGTGTGACGTCACTGGGGTGTGACATCACCTGGGTGTGACATCACCGGGGTGTGACATCACCCAGGACCTCACCTGGGTGTGACGTCATCTGGGTGTGACGTCATCTGGGTGTGATGTCATATGGGTGTGACATCACCTGGCTGGGGCCTCACCTGGGCGTGACGTCATCTGGGTGTGATGTCACTGGGGTGTGACATCACCTGGGTGTGACATCACCTGGGACCTCACCTGGCTGGGACCTCACCTGGGCATGACATCATCTGGGCGTGACGTCATCTGGGTGTGACATCACCCGGGTATGACATCACCCGGGGCCTCAATGGGGCGGGACCTCAGCTGGGTGTGACATCACCTCGGTGTGACGTCACCCGGACATGACATCATCTGGGTGTGATGTCATCTGGTTGTGACCTCACCTGGATGTGATGTCATCTGGGTGTGACATCACCTGGGGCCTCACCTGGCTGGGACCTCACCTGGGTGTGACATCACCCGGGTGTGACGTCACCTGGGCGTGACGTCAGCTGGGTGCGACGTCTTCTGGACATGACGTCATCTGGGTGTGACGTCATCCGGGTGTGACCTCACCTGGATGTGATGTCATCTGGGTGTGACATCACCTGGGGCCTCACCTGGCTGGGACATCATCTGGGTGTGACGTCACCTGGGTGTGACGTCACCTGGGTGTGACGTCATCTGGGTGTGACGTCATCTGGGTGTGACATCAGCTGGGTGTGACGTCACCTGGATGTGACATCATCTCTGTCCCTCACCTGTGTGTCCCCTGTCCCCAGAGCCAGTCGGAGGCGGCCCCTCCCCCGTCTCAGCTCCAGGTGTTCATCGCTCAGTGCCAGGACAGCCCCAAATCCGGAAAGTTCCGCCGGGACAGCTCCGCCTCCTGCTCCGCCCTCTGCTGCTGCGGCCGGTCCGGACCCCGGCTGGGGGGGCTGGGGGGGTCCTGGGGGGTCCTGGGGGGTCCTGGGGGGGCTTGGGCGGGGTCACCTGCGGGGGGGTCCCGAATTATCCCAAAATCCGCCCCAAATCACCCCAAAATCACCCCAAAATCCAGCCCCAAATCACCCAAAATCACCCCAAAATCCAGCCCCAAATCACCCCAAAATGATCCCAAAATCCAGCCCCAAATCACCCCAAAATGATCCCAAAATCCAGCCCCAAAATTCAGCCCCAAAATCCACCCCTGGACCAGCCCCAAAATCCAGCCCCAAA